CTCCACCCAAAGCGTTCTACATTCCCGATTTCATTTTAGTCGAAGAAGAAAGTTATCTCCTAGATCACGTATGTAAGCTCAATCTCTGAGATCATTTGTTTGCGTTTGTTTGTTTGTTTAGATTGTTTGCTTTTTTTAATTGACTGAATTGGGGAACCATTCATAGTTAGACGTAATCAGGCCTATGATTCACTAGAAATGATAATAAAATTGCAGGGTTTGAGCTAGGATTTGACTACTTTGGGTCAATTTTTGAGGCACATTTTTCATTTCAGAGGGTTGTTAAACCATAGAGAAAATTTCAAAGTGAACTGTAATTTTAGACATTTTAATGAAATAGCGATAGCAACAAGTTACAACCAGCAGCTGATCATGACCACTAAATATAAGAAAGTGACTATTTGCAAAAGAGCAAGACCAACAAATTTGTTATGCCATTATCAATTTATAATATTATACCTGCCAACTCTCACGCCTTAGGCGTGAGTCTCACGCCTGTAGGTTGAAAACTTCGATCTCACGCCGGCTCACACCTGCGGGCCAATTTCTCACGCCTGATTGAAAAATGTGAGTTGTTGCCGTCTTGCTTGACACAATTTCCAAAATGTGTTAACTCAGACCCATGTTAGGAACAAAAACCATGTGTAAAATGAATAAATGACAATACCTTCCATGCGATCTTTGATTTTTGAAGTGAAAAGCACTGGGAGCGTGCTCGCCTTCGGCAGACTTCGGACGTCTTCGAAAGACTTCGGACGTCTTCGGATTTTGTCGGGAATCTTCGGAAATGATCGTGTCGTCTTCAAAAATCCCAGCACTCCCAGGATAAAAATCTCACGCTTATATCTCAGAAAAAGTTGGCAGGTATATAATATTTGCTCTTGTTGCAACATTTCATTGCAGAATACCAAGAAGTAACTGTTAACAATTCAGTTTTGATTATTATATATTTAGTTGCTGACATGCTTCAAGCAAAAATTCCAGTGGAAACTTTGATAATTTGGCCGCAATTTTCCACATTTTGCAGGCTTTGTTTTGAACAATTTGTGCTCTGCTTGTTATGAACAATTGACTGTGCTGAAAATTTTTAAATTTTTTCAGGTCTTGTTCTAAACGCTGGAGGGGACAAAGTGACCCCTCAGTCATTTTCACACCCATCTTCGGAAACCCAGGGGCAGATAGTGGGGGAGAGGGAAAGTCTAAACGGCAGAAAAATATGGCACGAAGAAAAGTAAAGAACAGCAAGAAGTGCCCCTGGGGACAATGTCTTACCAGACCAGTTCCAAATGGTTGCCGCCGTTCTGCCTTCTGATTGGGCAGAAAAACACAAAAGTTTTCTGGCACCAATCAGAAGTCAGAACGGCGGCGACCGTTTGGAACTGGTCTGGTAAGACATTGTCCTAGGGCTCTTCTCGCCGTTTCCCTTGTCCCCACCATCTGCCCCTGGGTCTCCGAGGATGTTTCAAACCCTGAAAATGTATTTAAATAAGCTTGATTAACAATTATTGAATGAATATAACGGCCTCGGCAGATAACACCCTCTGAGATCTCCATAATTCTTCAGATGATATGAAAGCCGAATTCAATAATTCTTTTATTATTCATTCAAAATAATCCCTAGGTTAAAAACAAGCTAAAACATCCTTGCCTTCATCGATGTTATAAAGTTCATCTTCAGTAGTGCATGGTTATCGGCAAGTTGATAGCTCAGTCAATGGCAAGCATGTCCATCCCCCCGCCCCCCTTCCCAGGCATTTTTCAGGTCCTAATGTGACAGGGAATTTGTCAGCAGACCTCTGCCCAGGGGTGGAGCATTTGTCAATTCTTCTGGAAGTGGTTAAAGGGACACATGCAGTCAGCTCATGCGCACATGCACATTTCATACCATTTCTCAGCTGGTTTGGCTGATTTGCATATCACAAGACAAGCGTGTGAAATAGATGGTGAGAAGCGCATTCGGAATATCTAAACAAACCTCGTGGAGTTGAACTATACTTACAAGCCGAAATTATGGTTGTAGACCCTAAGCCATAGCAGAGCACTCATTTTTTATACACTATTGGATTTCTCCAGGGAAAGCCACTAACATCGACAAATACTTAGACTGAATTCTGTCATCAGTGGAGGTGAGAAATAACATGGAGTCTGCATAAATCATTGTTGAAGAAAGCTTGATTTTCCAAACATAAGAAACCTTTTCCATTGATTTTCCAATATATATAACAATTATAATATTATTTGCTCGCCAGTGTTATTGATTCATTTCTTTTGTTATTTTGGCAAACGAAGGCGATTCCTTCCTCCCAGCGCCTACACGTTTCTCACCTCTTCTGTTCATGTTTCTTTGGATACCGTTTTTAACGAAATATGATAAAATAATGTCATAGGATGCCTTAACGTTTGCTCAAAAAGAGGTTTTCTGTAAAAGATCGAGGGTCGAATGAAACACTAGGCAAGATTGAAGCAGATTTCGAGATGTACCCAATGTGTACATTTGATTTCGGGTTGAGGTAAACACTTTTCAAACTGGCAAAAGTCATGTCCAGGTCAGCATGGTCCCGTAGCTGACTGTGTCCCTTTAGCATTGTTCCTTTTTCAGTATTTTACTTAAAAATATGCCTATTTAGATAGCTTTAGATATTTCTATTAAGAATATTTTTATAGCCTGTAAACAGACGTTGTTGTACCTTTATTTTTGTTCTTTTCAAAAACATCGGCAAGCAAAGAGAGCGCGCGAGAACGAGCGTGGGGGGTGAGAAAGAAACATAAAGAATGTCTTTAGACATCTTTGGGAAAAACGAGGTTTATTAAGTCCCTCCCCCATGTCAACACCTCATCATTATCTTCTCCGTGTTCGCAGTACCAATTAAATTGGACCAATGGAATTGGAGATATAAATTGCTTGTGCAATTGGCCTAAGTACTTTACAATCAAACAACAATGACACTTGGAGTCGCGTGTTTGTTGAAGCGTGTCTTCTTAGACCCTCCTTAGACTGCTTCTCTTCTTCTACTCCTAAAAAGCTGGTTAAAAGAGGTCCAAAGCCAAAACAAATTGGCACATCGGATTATTGTAGGACATGTGGGTGCTCTGTATACCTCCATAGTACTGGGCAATCTTCCAGTTCCCGTAAAGCTACAAAGAATCTTTTTTTGAGATTGTTTGTCAAGGTATTATAAAACAAAAGTTGGCAGACGGTTAAAGAGATCTTGGTTTTGCCGTTTCGCAAACAGAAGATCAGTCAAGTAGGGTTTGTTTGCATTGCAGTAATTAGGCTAGAAGCACCTGAGCTGGATTTTTTTGTATTAAAGCCAGCTTTCAAGAAAGCGAGCACAATGATGATAGCTTTCGGTTTTTAAAAAACAGATTGAATGTCTGCATCACCTCATGGTTCCGCGGCAAGGTAATGCAATGACTGACTCTCATTACTTCCACTTGATCATTGATAATACTTCGTAATTGTGATGCAACTACAATTCTATGTTCTTTCCTCTTCATTTGAGTTTCACTACCGCAAACAACTGCTAAATTAAACTTTTCGCAAATCCCGTGGGAAGAACTGTCTCAACATCCTTTTGCTCCAGTAAACCCCAAACAGCCTGGCGCTCCTCTTCTTTTTCTTTGCTTGAAAATTGTGCCGAACAGTCGTTATAGTCTACACTGCGATACAAAAGATAATTACGGTCAACATGGTCAATGCAACACAAGCTCGTAGTATGACTCCATCCCAAGTTCACAAGTCGGCGGCACTTTCAATGTGATGACAATAGAAAGTGTTGCGGTTAGCGCTTCTGGACAATGACAAATGCTTCTACTCGCATGACGCGAGCGTGATGAGTCATTGACATGACGATGACAGGATAAATATCCATTCAGCCAATGGTAATTTGCTTTTCCTGGGAAAAGCAAGTTTCGGTTGCTCCCAAAGATGTACCTACAGACCGTCTATTTTCTTCTTCCCCCACAACTACCCCCTTGCGCTGGTGGTCAATAAATCCCCTGCAGTTTATATTTTATCACTCGCGCTCGACAGACTTTGAAGAGAAAATAGAGGGTCTGTGAACTGCTCAACAGGCTAATATTTTTAATAATTATGCTTTAAAAAAATATGTGTGGTTTTCACTCCATCACTTTGCCCTATGACTATCCCACAGTACTTTTTGCATCTGTCTAAGAAATTGCTCCCCACTATCGTGATCAGTTCGCACATGAAGGGAAAACAATCAATGTATTGTTTTTAGAGTTTAAAGGAAAAGACATTTTCTTTTTGTGTGAATGGTTGAGGCAGAAAGGCCTTGAAAAACTTAGCAAGATATTTGAAAGCTAACATTAACTTTGTGTATTGTATGAGCAATGTCACAATTATTACACTGACAAATTAATGGTTCCATCGTGATGAGAAAATAGTCATGTTAAGCTGATCCGTTGTTTGTTTATCATTCACTATTTTAAAAGTCTTCGAAAATATTAAAGAAAGGTATTATTAAATTCTAGTTTATAGTTCTGTCATTGATATGTGATCTTTTTTGCAATAATAATTATTACTGGTGATTGGTGATTATAACTGGTGGATGAGCAATTTGCATAGGGTGCTTCATGTATTTTGATCAGATTATTACTGACAGATATCGCATGAGTATGGTATTTGCAGCTTATTTACTGGAAAACCAATTTTGGTGTTGTGCCAAGTTGGGGCATTTACACCCTATTTTTAAGCCCCACCGCGGGGTTTTTGTATGAATGCCTGGCCCGAGAATGTGTGACATGAAGAATCCTCATCTTTTGTCTAGACTGCATCTTGCCTGGGAATTGTTGCCTTTTTATAGACAAGATTAATTAAAATGTGACAAAAATTTGTTTTAAAGATTATATCATTAAAAAAATTAATGATAAATGGCTTAGCATGTGGTATATTAAGTTATATAATACTGTGTGGTATAATTTTTATTTATGTTGGTAATTAATCACTGTTTAATAATTTTTTTCTGTGTCAAAATTAGGTTTATGGAGCTCCTAAGCCAAAGTGGACAAAACTTTCAGGAAGGCGACTTCAAAATTGGGGTAAGTTGCAAACAAACAGAAAAGTTACTATTTTGGGAAAAAGTTCATTTAATATGACAAGGGGGGGGGGGGNTTTTCAACTCAACAATTTAATGACCTGTGCAACTCAGCTATATCACGTGTTTTACAGATATAACAATTGTAGTCTCAGTAATTATTACACTCTTGTTCATTCCAAAAATGCTTTAGAAAATTTCAAAAATTAGAAATGAAAAAAAAACTTTTTATAATAAAACCACATTGATTCAACAAGATTTCAAAATCTGCTAACGGGAACTATAAAAACGATGACTCTGTAACAAGAAATGTTAAGAAATGAAGGAGGAGAGGGGGGGGGCTCTGAAATTTTTTCGACTACCAAGGAGGGGGCTCCTAAAAAATCGAACCACTAGCGAGGGGGGCTGCTAAAATTTCAAGCTTCGAGTTTCAATATCTTCATCCCCCCCCCCTTGTCATATTAAATGAACTTTCCCTTACAAGGAACATATCAAAATACCGTAAACTGACTCTTATAATCTGTGGGCTTATACACCTTTGTAAGGGGTTTAGGAGGGCTTATAAACTGAGGGGTGTATATCTGGGACGGCGTATAACTGGAAATTTAAAAATGGCATCGAAACAAGCTATAGCAGTGTGCATTTTGCATTGACTAGTTTTTAATAAAGCTGCATAATGTTATAATAAATAAAAAAATTCATTCGATTAAATAATGCATCTGATTATAAAAAGCCCTCCCCCCACCCCCCCGCATATAAGCCCCCCTATAGCTTGTATTTTTTAAATAAATCAAAATTCATTGTAATACAAGCTATAGGGGGGCTTATATCGGGGGGGCTTTTTATTATTGGAAGGGTTTTTTTGTTTGCTGGTAGATGGGCCTATAACTGAGAGGGCTTATAGGACAGTGGGCACTTATAAGGCAGGGGCGGATCCAGGATTTTTTTTAGGAGGGGGTGCACTCGTCTCTTGCTCTACTTCAACACCAATAAACCACATAGTTTTTTTGCAGAATACCAGTTGTATTAGGAAACGGCAGGTCATCTCAGGGGGGGGGGGGTGCGCACCCCCTGCACCCTCCCCCTAGATCCGCCCCTGTAAGGGGCTGTTTATGGTATGCAACTCAGATCAGTAGTGTAGCTAATTTTGAGTTTTTTGAAACACCACAATGTATGAATTGAGTCTGATGTCATTGTTCTGTAATTTTGTCTTATTTAGGTGGCTTACCACATCCCAAGGTAAACAAAACATATATAGATTTTTAACATTTTAAAAGAAAGTGTTAAACTAAAAGTAATTATTTCCTGATTGGTAGAAATGTGGGGTTCAACTTAAAACAACATAATTTGTATTGGAAAGGTGTGCCAATATTTTCGGGAACAACACAGTTGTACTATTAATACAAATTGACTATTTCCATAAATTAACAATTAAGTCATATAATTTTATTCTTTCTCCTTTTAGGGAATGGTTCTTGAAAAACTTCCACCGGTAAGTAATAATAATTATAACATGTTTGTCTAAATTTATTAATATGAGATGATTTGGATGATTTACCGCAATATCAATCCTAATAGTAGCCATTAGGCAAAAACTTTTGCAATAAATTCAAATCTTCTTTTGTAAAATCCTAAAAAATGAATAGTATTAGGCGAAAGTTATGTCAAAGGTCATTCGTTTAAGAAATTGTATCATAGGATTTTGTCTACCAATTAAAAGTTAGAGTGACAAATCTTTGTACTATAATTAAATAAATTGGGCTAGGAGGAGAAGCAGTGTGCAAAGAAAGTAATGTCGGATAGCGCGGTGCTAGTGGATTTTACTAATATTGGGCTAGTGAATTCTGTTGTTAACTTGCCCGAAGGGCAAGTGATGTTTTTTGAGCAATTCAAATAACAGAAGAACTATAAAATCAATTCTGCTCATCAAAAAGTGTCTGGGGCTAGTTGAAATGACATCAGGGCTAGTAAATGCTAGCTTCAGCTTGCCTGAATGGCAAGCTGTAAAAATGATTTTCTTTGCACCCTGAGAAGGGCAAAAATCATGACATAAAATCTTTTGTTTTTCAGTGGCTACAGAAATACTCTGCCAAGGTTGGGGCTCTTTCAGTATTCAGCGATGTTGCTCCAAATCATGTATTAGTAAATGAGTATGAACCAGGTCAAGGAATAATGGTGAGAAGAAACACTTCTGTTGAAAAAAGTGTATATGTGTGCTTTTTTAAAATCTTCACCTCCCCATGGGCAAGGGTTTTATGGAATTTACCTGTCATCTGTGCCGGTTTTTCATTAGCCTGAGTAGCATGGCGGGTTTTTTTGCACACTACTGAGCGGGGAAGCCTCAAAAGTGCGCGCAAAGTGCGCGCGAACGAGCGGCGGCCCCAGTCTTCACGCAGTTTCACTGCCCCCAGCTTGCCTTGTTTACGCGCCCAGCCAAAACCGCCATGTTAAGCAGGCTAGTTTTTTATCCTAAATTATGCACCACAACACAAAATATTACATTAAAACAACAACAACAAAAAAGAATCCTTATTGCACTTCAACTGGGTTGACCGTTTGCGATACTGTTACAGAGGATTCACTTTGTCAGTCACAACATTAGTTTTCTCTCATAGAAACAGTAGCAGAACTGCATTACAGACGACTCTCTCTTAACGGACACCTCTATAAGACGGACACTTCTGTAAAACGGACACCTGGAGTTGGTCCCTGCCTTTGTTTATTCCCTTTATTTGACTCTTTATAAGACGGACATCTCTCTGAGATGGACACTTAGTGCCGGTCCCAAAGGTGTCCGTGTTGAAAAGAGTTGACTGTACATCTATCCTGTACAACTGACTCTGGGATTATGAAAAAATAAGCACTGCAGTCCTGGTATAATTAAAACCAAGAGAATTGAATTCTTTCAGTCTAATATAGAAAAATTATAATACCATAGTTTGTACAATTCTTTGAATAAGTGCCATATTTGAGGCGTGAAAAATCTAATAAGCGCCGCGGCGCTTCTTTGAGTGAATACGGCAATCCTTCAGATCCTTTGTTATTTTCAGCCTCATACAGATGGACCATTATTTTATCCAGTGGTTTCCACGATTAATCTTGGTTCTCACACCTTTCTGGACTTCTACCATCCTTTAACCAAGACAGGTCATGACTCCAAGGTAAGAGTTTCTTTTTTAATAACTTGGGAAACTCCAACCCAGGACTGGGACCAGTACGGTTAAAAAAATGCAGCAAAACAAAACAAAACAAAACTCAACAAAAACCCTCAATATATAAAACGGTAATAATAGGCATCCTTTCAAGGGCGTAGCCAGGATTTTTTTCAGAGGTACGAACAATTCTCCGAAACTTAAGAGTTTTTTCTGCATATATGAAATGACATTAGCAACTTGTAAAATACTTTGTCGCGTGTTGGGATCCATTGACTGATGCATGTCAATCATCTGTCTTACATGCAATTTAAGACTACGTACTTTTCTTGGTAATTTTGTTACTGGGTCCGTTTTGTCGTTTTTGATTAGATGCAGTGGGTGAATACGAATTGAAAAGGTGTCTCTATAGATTTTGAATCCGAAATCTAAAGTGAATCCGATGTCTTGTAAATTCGCCATATTTTGTAGTGTGAACAGTTTGTCCAACGAATCCGGATACTTTCTGTCTTTGATCGTACGAGTTTGCAGTATACCAAAATGGAACTGTCAATTTCATGAATATAGGGCGCCTTAGCAACAACGACGGAGAGGGCAACGCAAACCTCCCTAGCTATCAAAATGAATGCACGGGTTTTTTCTTTTTTAACTTTTTCGCGTTTATTTCATCTCTCTCCAAATGGCAAATGTAGGTGAACTTCCCTATGAAGTCTTGGGGACCTCACCCAAGTTCGTACTCAGGGAAGAAATTGAGTTTGCCCCTGTGTTTGTCCTCAAAACAACGTCGCAAAAGGAAATTTAACGTCCTCTTCGTACAGGTTGTAACGAAAAGGGCGCTGCACGTACAAAATTTGTTGTTTTTCAATTACTTTATATTGGGCTCGTTCCGTTTGACGTTATCATTGCCTTCGCCGTCACCTTTGTCGTTGCTCCCAGGACATGATTTATCGATGTGCGTAAACGGTTAGGAATCCAAACACGTTTTAAGTAAAAATGCCTGCCCTCTTTTCACTTGTTCCCCGTATCATCAAAGTCATGTGCTTCTCGTTTGTCTCTCCCGCGCTTCTTGCTTGTTCCCTGCTCCCCATTAAGCTTGGGGACTTTAAAGCCTGTGGAGAAGGCAGTGCAACTGGTGTCGCTACTGGTGCCATGTGTAGACCTAAGCTTGTTCTGTCATAGGTCTCATCGTTTCTTAGTATACTCTGAAAAGTGAGATCTCCTTTCCCTTGGCTTTGAGAGATCTGGATACGAGATTAGCACGGATAGTGGCGGGGAATAGAGCTAGAAACATGTGACTGTCCAAACCTTGACCATCCTGGGATGAGATCGAGGGGAAGTCAGTTTGGTCGGGAGAAACGGCGCGGCGAAAGTTTTCAAGCATAAAACGTTCACTCCGTATTTGCGTTTTTAACAGGTTTACAGCAACACACCCGAAAGCCCTAGTGCCGGCAGCGAGTGTTTATATTCAGAGTTAATTTTGCCTCACTAAAACGCAGTCAAAAATGCATTCAACTCTGACTCTTGAACACTTCGCTACGCATTCTGAGTTGCTAAATTCCCTATATTTAGGCTATGTTCACACTATATCAGATAGCTTTTACGCCGCCCCGAGAATCATCTCGGATTGAGCTTCTGTTCACACATAAACACTGTTGTGGCGGCGCGATTTCTGTGACGGAGCGAAGCTGCGCCGCGCCGATCTCTAAAGTGGTGAGTCACATATCGGATAGGTGTGTTCACACTATAACGGATAGCTTTTCGTGGCGCTACGAAAGGCTATCCGTTATAGTGTGAACACAGCCTTAAATTAAAGAGGTTTGATTGCAAAAATCTTCAGTCATAAACGGTTGCCGCCATTACGAATTTACGGGAACCCCTTTCGGCACTGATATCAAAGGTCATTGTTCTAACTCTCATTTTTTCAAGAACAATACCGTGATTTTAAAAAGATCGAGAAAAGAAAGTCGGAGGAGCGTTAGACGCGAAATTGAAATATAGGTCTGATTCATGAGTTGTTTTGCGTACTTGGAAGCTACTGTTTGGTAGTCACTCAAACAAATCATTGCAGTGAATTTCGTCGGACCAACTGCTTAATTCCCAATTCCCAAGCTGGGTATTTAAAACTGAATTAAACTGTCTTGAGTTCAATATAAGCTTGAAATCTCATAGGTTCACCCATATCATATTTACTCGAATAAGCGCCTCCCCGATTACCCAGAAAGATCCACCCCAAATTAGCGCGGCCTTCAAATAAGCGCTGCATTTGAGGGGAGAAAAATTTAATAAGCACAGCGTCGCTTATTCCAGTACCCTGGGTCTCCTTGGTCACCGCGCCTTGTTCTCGGACGTGGAAAATTCTTATAAACGAAAATAATCAGTTGAACAGTGTCAAACAGTTAATAGATAAGTTTATTTTTCACTTTACATACGTGCATACATACGTAATTTGTTCAAGCTGCATTAAAATATATACAAGGTTTAAAAGTTGAAAAACGACATCTTGAATGGGAAGTTAGGAGGTTATCGCTATGTTAAAACTCCCCAAAATAATAAGTGAATAAACAAAAAGATAAAAATATCATAATAACAACTACCATAATAGTAAAAGGTAATTCTTTGTTAAACATTGAGATTTAGTTTTAGCTTAGATTTAAATAATTGAAGACTATCAGCTACAACTATGTCTTTGGGTAANTTCATAAGTTGTTTTGTGTACTCGGAAGCTACTGTTTGGTAGTCACTCAAGCAGATCATTGCAGTGAGTTTCGTCAGACCAACTGCTTAATTCCCAATTCCCAATTCCCAAGCTGGGTATTTAAAACTGAATTAAACTGTCTTGGGTTCAATATAAGCTTGAAATCTCTTAGGTTCACCCACATCATATTTACTCGAATAAGCGCCTCCCCGATTAGCCGGAAAGATCCACCCCAAATAAGCACCACCTTCAAATAAGCGCTGCATTTGAGGGGTGAAAAATTTAATAAGCACAGCGTCGCTTATTCCAGTACCCTGGGTCTCCTTGGTCACCGCGCCTTGTTCTCGGACGTGGAAAATTCTTATAAAAGAAAATAATCAGTTGAACAGTGTCAAACAGTTAATAGATAAGTTTATTTTTCACTTTACATACATGCATACATACATAATTTGTTCAAGCTGCATTAAAATATATACAAGGTTTAAAAGTTGAAAAACGACATCTTGAATGGGAAGTTAGGAGGTTATCGCTACGTTAAAACTCCCCAAAATAATAAGTGAATAAATAAAAAGATAAAAATATCATAATAACAACTACCATAATAGTAAAAGGTAATTCTTTGTTAAACATTGAGATTTAGTTTTAGCTTAGATTTAAATAATTGAAGACTATCAGCTACAACTATGTCTTTGGGTAAATCACTCCATAGTTGACTACTCTAATGAAAAATGGAATGTTTATGACAATTTAGTCTTGTTGATTTGACATAAAGTTTATAAGAATGATTGCCTCTGTAGATTAAGGAGTAGTGAATTAAAAAAAATGTTCAAAGTTAAGATGATAATAAGCAAAGACAATCTTGTAACATTCGACTAAAGATAAACAAGTTCTGCGATAAGATAAAGTAAGCCACTTACGCCGCTGGCATCGCTCCTCTAAGACATCTCTCGTTTACGTTGGTTTGGGGTCATTCGCAACGCTTCTCTGTACACATTCGAGTAAATGGATGTCTTTCGCCAGATAAGGGCTCCAGACTGGTGCTGCATATTCTAAGATTGGCCTTACGAGAGATTTGTGGAGCATAGAAAGTATATTTACATTTGCAGTCCTCACGGAACATTTTGTAACGCCTAGTACTTTGTGTGAGTTATTGGCAATCATAATCACTGTACAACTATTTAAACGATATTGCGACCTCTTATCTTTAAACGAGGTTGATTTACATGGCACAACTTTAACGCATGACCCAGGCTAGTTCAGAAAAATGTAATGAGAAAAGAGAAGATATAAACATTGTATGCCACTTGAATGTTTCGTTTTCTGAGCCAATACTTTGAATTGCCTGTTATAATTAAGTTATGGGTAGTTGCAATATTTTGCACTAAATAAGCTCATTCTTCTACAATATATCAGCTGCAGTTCTTTAACACTGAAAGTTCTAAATTAAAACTTTTTATCAGTTTAATACTATGTATCTTTACCTCGCCGCTGACAGGGTAAGCCGCATGGCAACCATGTGCTCCCCGGCTATTCTACATTAGGATTAATTTGAGCATTTCCAACACCCTTGCCGCAAAAATGTTTCAGTAAAAATACACGGAAATCCTTCATCTGAACCAGATATGTGATGAAGTTTATAGCACTGCCGGAAAAAACTAGCACCCGACTAATATGTCTTATCACAAAATCGTCCTGGAAATCTAGCGATGGCTTAGCTACCGCAACAAAGGCTGTGTAATACAGTATTGTCGAATAAGAAAGAACGGAAGCTATGGTGACAATTATAATTAAACTAGTTTTTTTGATTTGGTGTGATCTCATCTTCGCCCTAATGGCGTTATCTCGTTGTATATCGATCCTTCTTTTGCTTCCTTTCCATATCCTTCTGGCTATGATGATGTTCATACAAATCAAAGCAATGCTTGGTATGACGATCTGTATCAGTACGAAGCCTACCATAATTACTCTGGTAGGTAGATAACTGGTATCGGATTTACAGACAATTGTGTAATGTGTAGCATTAATATCGTATCTTGCACCATTTACTGTTGCTGCTGGAAACAATCCCATTAAAAACCCTGAAAGCCACGCTGTATACACTAATTTACGGACAGTGGAACCACTGAACGTTTTAGGAACATCACGGGTTGAAAGAAACCTCTCGGTGCTTATAACAATTAAATTATTCGCTCTTATAACGTAAAACGTACCGCTGATATATCGACGTATTTTACAAGGCCAGCCATTTTGGAATGCATCATACATTAGTTCTATACCAACTAAAACACCTCCAATGGAAATTACGAGTAACTCTGAAAGAGCTAAACTCTTCATGTAAAGATTGAAGTTTCTTAGGAAAGGAGAAGACTGCAGAAAAGGAACTGACTTTTTCTTGGAAAGAAAATAAAGAATTAGGATGTTGCCCACCAATCCGATGACTCCAAAAATTACTAAAAGTACAACAAGAACGAGTTTTATGCTGAAATCTGCCGGCGCGAATACGTAAACTAAAGAAGTAATGGCTACAGCTGTGCTGTTGATAAGGGAGGACTGATTATCAATGGAATTCGGGTTGGACAAAAGTTGCGAAGAAGGTTCCATCTGCAAGTAAAATTAGAAATAAAGATGAATTTCTAAACATTTTTGGTTAATGGTGTTTCCTATAGGCTTCTTCGAATTTTATTAATAAATCAATGTAACCAATTTGTCAGGGGCACCCAGCGAGAATATAGTTAAAACCACTTAAACATAGTATTGTTAAACGTATTTTAGTATTTAAACGGTAGATATAGGCCTATTTTTATTCCCTAGAAATTTTTCATCTGTTCGTTTTTCCAAGCTGAAAGTCTAGTGGTCCGAAAATTATAGGGATCAAAACTTACCTTTTCGAAAATTTCAGCCAGAAAAAAGGCTCCCGAAAATTCTAGGTGATCTTTTTAGTGTAAAAATCCGTTCAAAATGGGCAATTATACCATTTTTTGATGTTCGAAAATCCTAGGAGAGGTAGGCAAGCAAGAAATTTTACAAGTGTTCCGAAAATTCTAGATCTCAAATCGTCTTCCAAACAGATATTTTCCGAAAATTGACGTTGGGTGCCCCTGATTTGTCCCTGGACGTTTTGTCGCAAAGCGCCATTTGAAGTTAGTCAAGCCGTTTTCTGGTCAGTTCCCTTCTCCGGCTTTAGGGGGTTTTAGCATCGACGACGGCTACGGCAGCGAAAACGTCACTTTTAAAATGAATTAGCGTTTTGTCCCGTTTATTCCAATTTGCTGAAAATGTCTAATGTAGGCCAATTTCACTGGAGTTGATTTCTTAGGGACCGCACTCAAGTTTAGAAAGAGAAAGAAAAGTTTGTCGTCGCTTGTTTACGTCCTCCATAAAACGTGAAATTGGGCATTTTAACGTCGTAGTCGTGTAGTAATGGCAAGGAAGTGTACAAAACAGCGTGATGCACGTGCAAGCGTGTTGTTTTGCTTAATAAACCTATTGCTGTTTTGACGTTCTCGTTGCCGTTGCCGTCGCCGTCGTCTTAGCAAAAACTGCCTTTTTTCTGAGGGGAGGGGACTGCTGTAGACAGACTAGTCAATGGTAGTCTTTACACTAGAGCGTAAATAAGCTAAGAAATATTTCAAGACAAGTAAATTTTAATTACTTCAAGTAAAGTAAAGATTCACACGAAACCGATTCTTGTTTACTTCAGGTTAACTTAAGGCTATTTTCCCACGCAACATAATTACGATTGATTGACGTGTTTCGCCTTTCTCAAATCTCAAGAAACCGCAAGTAACCGCAAGTGAGCTAAGTCGGTTTTAAGGATGGTTTTCAAGTCGCTTGAAACTTTCTTGAATCGTTTCAACTTTCCGACTTTAATGAGATGCAAAGTAAAGTTACTTGCCTTTGAGAGTTTACTTAGGCCTTCACACACGAATTTTTGGTGAAGTAAAACTTAGCAGCTCTTAAGTCTTACTTAACAGCCTAGTGTAAAGACAGCCAATATCTGGTTAAAAAGAACTAAAACTGGTATGGACTGGTATGGACTATCGTCCGGTGAAAACGGTCCCATATTTTCCGGCAAAAATTATCTCGAGAGTGGAGATGCTGTACTCGTTTGAATGAATGAAAACAGAGGTTTTCGAACCGATTTTGTCACAGTGTTGGATACAAGTAAACGCGCATGTACCATCAAAGATAGTACCGTTCTTTTTTTGCGTAAACGAGCAAAATGGTTTCAAAAACTCAACTTGTAAACGCTTATTTTTGGAGACGGAGAAAAGAATTTAGAAATGCAGGCACTAGAAGTCGCTCATTGTGTCTCAAAGCAATTCGTCGTCGAAATTGAAAAACAATTTCACAGTTACCGTCTTTACTTCATCGATTTTTCTCAAATTTTTTTGGCATACCAAGAAAGCATATATAATAGTATGAATACTTATTTAAAGCAGATACCAGACATTTCAGCCAAAATATCTGCAAATTTTCACTAGACGCTATTTTCGTCGAAAAATACGGTCCACTTACAGCGCTAATTTCTCAAAAAATATTTATGACCAGTAAAATCAAATTGTTCCATATTCTTGCCGGATGATAGGTGTAAGTGTTCTCGAAGTTCTGCAGGGACAAGCTTTCCTATCCGATTCCGAGAAATTCGACCACTCTAAAATAGATCATGATAACATTATGACGCCATGTACAGCTGTGGAGGCCGTTTTCCAGATTTGTTCGTGAATAGCAATGCAGCAAATTCTCTGACTTTGTGAGGCACTACCACCAATTAAAAACTGGAAAAATCCACTCAAGCGACCGTAAGCCCCATTTTTTGTTCTAAGAATGTTTTCCAAAGTCTGATTTCACTCACATTTTAGGTTTGATTATCATGAGTATTGCATTTTTGGTTAATTTAAATGGGGTTTTCAAAAAGCAAGTGCCTACTATACCTTTCTTGTCAATAAAAGTGAAGCAATCGTCGGTTATGCCAGATCACTGAACTTTCCACTTTGCGGTCAGCAAAAAACGGACTGTGTGACAAGAAACAGATTATTAGCTAACTAGCTAAATGTGAAAGATCAAATTTTTTAAAGTTAAATTGTGTATTCATAGAATATATTGTTCATAATCATTTTATTTTGACTATACTAACCTTAGTCTTAATGCACAAATCTCTGAAAGACCCCCGCCTTAAAAACTCTTCACTGCCGCAAATGAGCGGAACGCTGAGGCGGAAAAAAGACAAAACAAGATTGGTATTATTTTTTCACCGAGTGCAGATAGAAAATACATTGAAATCAATAAAAGCAGTTAAAGAATTGGAACTTACCGATCTTAATGTTAGCAAGTCTCTTCTCAGTTCAAACCGTACCTACATACTGCTGCTACCACAAGAATGCTCGCATTCACGGCCAGTGATGTGAACACAGGCTGTAAGACCGTTCTGCTGAAAATGCTGTTGTCAGGAATGAGTTTGGTAATTTCTACTGCATAAGTTACATTTTCTATTGTATGTTCATCTCAAGGATTTTTTCATTGTAACTCAGTTTCCTGCCGCCAAAATTGAAAGCCAGATTGAACAAAACCGTGAATGGTCTAGTTTTGTTACATCCCAGAGAAATAACGAACAATGTAACATACGGTATGTTTTATGGTATCCGGCAGTAGTTTCATGTGATAGCCGTTTTAACGTTTGTACGTACCTAGTCTCCAACTTTTTAGCAGGGTCATACTTGTTTTTTTTTTCATTGCAACAACAACCACAACAACAACAACAGCAATGTATCTATTAACAGAACTATAAAATTTACAATACTTTATGTCCCGCAAATAGCTACTGTGCTGATCTAGGCAGGACAACTGATTTTAGAGACAGATAATACAGAAAGAAACACCTTACATGTAAATTCAAGTACAGGGATTTTGTTTTTTCTAAGAAGACTAAAATTACAACTGAAAGTGTATACAACTAATTACGTACATTGCATCAGGTTGAAAGCGTTTATGAAAATTGATCGGTATAAAATTCTGGGAAACTGCTGGCCCTCCTACTCGTATCTCCAGGTTATGTCTAAAAACTGAGGCCATTGTTCAATGTTCAATTTTTAATTTTAAAAGCGTTGCGGTGTCTCACTGGATAAACTTTCTAGGGAAATTACAAACAAAGTAACAGGTGATCACTTTTGTTTATATTTTCCGGTAGTCTTAGCTTTTTGCCAATTTTTAACGTGTTCCTAAGTGTATATGACATAAAATTTTTAAAACTGGTTTTGGTTCTTAGATAAGTTTGATTAACAGTTCTGAACTGTGAAAATGTGTCTCCCCCCCAAAAAAATTTCATGAATTTTGGCCGTCCAAAAACTGCTTTTTCCCCTTGAGAAATGTCCTAGAGACTCGGAACGAGTAAAAAAGAAGTCTTATGAGGCCTTCGCTTCTGATTCTGGTCATTGTTTTGCCTTTTGTGGAATAAAGCGGTGTATTTGACTGTAAGAAGAGTGTAGCGAAGCAAATGAGGATTGTAATGATGATTTGGGAGTTCTCGACAACGACAATCTTTCGTATTTGCCGCCATCAAGTTACTGATTATTTTTACATTCTTGCTAATCATTCCATGTCATACTTGTCAATTTGGCTGCGTGATAGGGTGGACATTTGCGTTAAAGACGAAAAAGGACATAAAAATTCAACGCAAAATATTTTTACATAATGATCATGGTTAACTGCCAACGAGGCAACCGAGCTAAAAAGCGAGGCTGCCTCGGCGGCAGATTCCTAATCCGAGCAATGTTAGGAAAATTTCTCAAATTCTGCTTAACCCTATTTTTTGCTATATTTGGGCAACGTCATGGTCTTGTTTTTACTACTATAGTGCTTCGAGATTGGGTAATCCAGTATGAAACCAATCGGTGTCTGTTCCTGTGGACCTAAAAGTTGAGCAAGCTTTCATGCGAGTTCTTGTTTGAAACGGCTGTTAATAGCCTAGTAATAGGCTAGTAATTGATTGACGGAGTTTTCAACAAACAAATCATGTCCATTAAGCAAGACGCAAACAATTTCTTCACACTTCCGTTGTTGAATTGGCCACGATTGGTCGCTTAGTTAAGGCAGAGCATAATCATGAAAACCAGGGGCTTAGCCAGGATTGTTTCAGACGTACACACAATTCTCCAAATCGCTCCCCCCTCCCCCCCCCCACCCCCCCCCCCCGAAAAAAAACCTTTCTTTTTAGCTTGATTTAAGATTTGGTTACGTTGAAAACCTTACAGTTTTTTTTTTCTGCATATGAAGTCCAATTAGCAAATTGTAAAATACTTTGTCGCGTGTTTCGGTCCATTGACTGATGCACGTCAATCATCTGTCTTACATATAGACAATTTTGTAACTGGGTTCGTTTTGTCGATTTGAAGCAGATGCAGCGCGTGAATACGAATTGAAAAGGTGCCGATTGGTCAAGTCTCTATAGATTTTGAATCCGAAATCCAGAGTAAATGCGATGCCTTGTAAATTCGCCATGTTTTGTAGTGTAAACAGTTTGTCCAACGAATCCGGATACTTTTCCGACTTTGATCATACGAGTTTGGGTAAACCAAAATGGAACTGTCAATTTCATGAATATAGGGCGCCTTAGCAACGACGGCGGCGAGGGCAAAATAAATGCACGGGTGTTTTTCTTTTTTAACTTTTTCGCGTTTATTTCATCTCTCTCCAAACAGCAAATGTAGGTTAACTTCCCTATGAAGTCTTGGAGACCGCACCCAAGTTCGGACTCAGAGAAGAAATAGAATTTGTCCCTGTGTTTACGTCCTCACAACAATGTCGCAAAAGGAAATTTAACGTCATGTTCGTACAACCTCGTTCCCAGGGTTCTCTCCTACCCGCCCTACGGAGCGAGAGAGAGAGAGAGACCCTGGAAAACGCTGGTCACGTGTCTCCCAGAATCTGGGAGATTACCAAACAAACGATTTGGGGGAGGGGCAGGTAAGTGTGAGATTTGTCTGTACAGAGCGTAGACAGGTCAGTGCAGTCGTGAAGCTGTGTACCTGACCTGTTCTTGAACGGCGAAATAATGCACAAAATCCTTTGACAGCGAAAGCGTAACTTCCTGCAGAATATCTGGATGTTAATGGGATGTTTATCAGCGATGCTTTCATTTGACACATGCAACGGAAATCGCGGAGTATTCACCTTTGTGCAGTCAAAAATAATTCAGGTATCCTGGTCTGCCTGGTAGTAGTATTCATACCGAGACGCACTAGATTTGAATTGCCGTATCTATGTTGTGGAGACCACTTTAGAAAACAAATGTACAGTATCTGTATGTGTTTTCAAGACTACTGATTACGCAGGTTTTGTTGTCTGTTTTGTCTCTGTTTATACTATTTCCTGTTGTCTTCCACGTCGCGTTGGTATATCATTATTTTTATCTTTGATCTATTTACCACCTTTCTATTGCTGCATCATAACAAAGGTTAGGGGGTGGAAAATGCTGACATTTTGGGCTATAGCTTTCGGAGAAGTCACTAGATCTAAAGTATTACTTGATCGTAAATGTATTAACTGAATTCCTTACTCCCAATGTAACTGTCTCGCTCCGTAGGGCGGGTAGGAGAGAACCCTGGGAACGAGGTTGATGTTCGTACAGGTTGTAACGAAAAGCGCGCTGCACGTGCAAAATTTGTTGTTTTTCAATTACTTATTGGGCTCGTTCCGTTTGACGTTATCATTGCCTTCGCCATCAACTTTGTCGTTGCTCCCAGGATTTATCGATGTGCGTAAACGGTTAGGAATCCAACCACGTTTTAAGTAAAAATGCCTGCCCTCTTTTCACTTGTTCCCGGTATCATCCCAGTCATGCGCTTCTCGTTTGTCTCCAGCTCTCGCACTTGTCGCTTGTTCCCTGCTCCCCATTAAGCCTTGGAAAAGCCTGTGGAGAAAGCACTACAACTGGTGTCGCAACTGGTGCCATGTGTAGACCTAAGCTTGTTCTGTCGTAAGTCTCATTATTTCTTAGTTTACTCTGAAAAGTGAGATCTCCCTTCCCTTGGCTTTGGGAGATCTGGATACGAGATTAGCGCGGATGCTGGCTAAGAATAGAGCTAGAAACATGTGACTGTCCAAACCTTCACCATCCTTCACCCGATCTCTAAAGTGGAGAGTCACATATCGGATAGGTGTGCACACTATAACGGATAACTTTTCGTGGCGCCAAAAAAAGCTATTCGATATAGTGTGAACACAGCCTTAAATTAAAGAGGTTTGATTGCAAAAATCTGCAGCTATAAACGGTTGCCGCCATTACGAGTTTACGGGCACCTCTTTCCGCACTGATATCAAAGGTCATTGTTCTAACTCTCATTTTTTGGAGAACAATACCGTGATTTAAAGAAGATCGAGAAAAGAAAGTCAGAGGAGCGTTAGACGCGAAATTGAAAGATATGTCTGATTCATGAGTTGTTTTTGCGTACTGGGAAGCTGCTGTTTGATAGTCACTCAAGCAAATCATTGCAGTGAGTTTCGTCAGACCAACTGCTTTATTCCCAATTCCCAGTTCCCAATGCCCCGAAAAAGTTATGTATGCTACCCATTTTTTTATCATTATTTTGTTATTTCTTTTAAATTCAAAAAGTCATCCGAATTTTTTTATAGCCAATCAGAGCTGGATATTTAAAACTGAATTAAACTGTCTTGGGTTTAATATAAGCTTGAAATCTCATAGGTTCACCCATATCATATTTACTCGAGTAAGCGCCTCCCCGATTACCAGGAAAGATCCATCCCGAATTAGCGCCGCCTTTAAATTAGTGCTGCATTTAAGGGGTCAAAATTTAATAAGCACAGCGTCTCTTATTCCAGTACCCTGGGTCTACTTGGTCACCGCGCCTTGTTCTCGAACATTGTAAAATTCTCTATAAAACAAAATAATTTGAACAGAGTCAAACAGTTAATAGATAAGTTTATTGATTATTTTTCACTGCATATTCTAAGATTGGCCGTACGAGAGATTTGTGCAGCATAGAAAATATATTTACATTTGCAGTTCTCACGGAACATTAATTTTAGTAACGCCTAATACTTTGTTTGAGTTATTGGGAATCATAATCACTGTACAACTATTTAAATGATATTGCGACATCTTATCTTTAAATGAGGTTGATTTATATGGGACAACTTTAACGCATGACCCAGGCTAGTTCAGAAAAATGTAATGAGAAAAGAGAAGACATAAACAGTGCATGCCACCTGAATTTTTCGTTTTCTGAACCAATACTTTGAATTGCCTGTTAAAATTAAGTTATATGTAGTTGCAATATTTTGCACTGAATAAGCTCAGTCTTCTTCAATATAACAGCTGCAGTTCTTTAACACTGAAAGTTGTAAATTAAAACTTTTCATCAGTTTAATACCTTTACCTCGCCGCTGACAGGGTAAGCCGCATGGCAACCATGTGCTCCCCGGCTATTCTACATTAGGATTAATTTGAGCATCTCAAATGTTTCAGTAAAAATACACGGAAATCCTTCATCTGAACCAGATATATGATGAAGTTTGTAGCACTGACGGAAAAAACTAGCGCCCGACTAAAATGTCTTATCACAAAATCTTCCTGGAAATCTAGCGATGCTTCAGCTACCGCAACAAAGGCTGTGTAATACAGTATTGTCGAATAAGGAAGAACGGAAGCTATGGTGACAATTATAATTAAACTAGTTTTTTTGATTTGGTGTGATCTCATCCTCGCCTTAATGGCGTTATCTCGTTGTATATCGATCCTTCTTTTACTTCCTTTCCATATTCTTCTGGCTATGATGATGTTCATACAAATCAAAGCAATGCTTGGTATGACGACCTGTATCAGTACAAAGCCTACTACAATTACTCTGTTGGGTAGATAACTGGTATCGGGTTTACAGACCATTGTGTAATGTGTAGCATTAATATCGTATCTTACACCATTTGTTGTTGCTGCTGGAAACAACCCCATAAAAAAACCTGAAAGCCACGCTGTATACACTAATTTACGGACATTGGAACCACTGAACGTTTTAGGAACATCACGGGTTGAAAGAAACCTCTCAGTGCTTATAACAATTAAATTATTCGCTCTTATAACGGAAAACGTACCGCTGATATATCGACGTATTTTACAAGGCCAGCCATTTTGGAATACATCGTACATTAGTTCTATACAAATTAAAACACCTCCAATGGAAGTTACGAGTATCTCTGAAAGAGCTAAACTCTTCATGTAAAGATTGAAGTTTCTTAGGAAAGGAGAAGACTGCAGGAAAGGAACTGACTTTTTCTTGGAAAGAAAATAAAGAATTAGGATGTTGCCCACCAATCCGATGACTCCAAAAATTGCAAACAGTACAACAAAAACGAGTTTTATGCTGAAATCTGCTGGCGCGAACACGTAACCTAAAGAAGTAATGGCTACAGCTGTGCTGTTGGTAACGGAGGACTGATTATCAGTGGAATTCGGGTTGGACAAAAGTTGCGAAGCAGGTTCCATCTGCAAGTAAAATTAGAAATAAAAATGAATTTCTAAAAATTTTAGGTTTATGGTGTCATCGAATATCATAATTTAAGTCAATTTAACCAATGTGCCCCTGGCCCTTTTGTCGGAAAACGCCATTTGAAGTTAGTCAAGCCGTTTTCTGGTCAGTTCCCGTTTCCGACTTTCNCACTGAAAGTTGTAAATTAAAACTTTTCATCAGTTTAATACTATGTCTTTACCTCGCCGCTGACAGGGTAAGTCGCCGGCGCGGTAACTATGTGCTCCCCGGCTATTCTACATTAGGATTAATTTGAGCATCTCAAATGTTTCAGTAAAAATACACGGAAATCCTTCATCTGAACCAGATATATGATGAAGTTTGTAGCACTGACGGAAAAAACTAGCGCCCGACTAAAATGTCTTATCACAAAATCTTCCTGGAAATCTAGCGATGCTTCAGCTACCGCAACAAAGGCTGTGTAATACAGTATTGTCGAATAAGGAAGAACGGAAGCTATGGTGACAATTATAATTAAACTAGTTTTTTTGATTTGGTGTGATCTCATCCTCGCCTTAATGGCGTTATCTCGTTGTATATCGATCCTTCTTTTACTTCCTTTCCATATTCTTCTGGCTATGATGATGTTCATACAAATCAAAGCAATGCTTGGTATGACGACCTGTATCAGTACAAAGCCTACTACAATTACTCTGTTGGGTAGATAACTGGTATCGGGTTTACAGACCATTGTGTAATGTGTAGCATTAATATCGTATCTTACACCATTTGTTGTTGCTGCTGGAAACAACCCCATAAAAAAACCTGAAAGCCACGCTGTATACACTAATTTACGGACAGTGGAACCACTGAACGTTTTAGGAACATCACGGGTTGAAAGAAACCTCTCGGTGCTTATAACAATTAAATTATTCGCTCTTATAACGGAAAACGTACCGCTGATATATCGACGTATTTTACAAGGCCAGCCATTTTGGAATACATCGTACATTAGTTCTATACAAATTAAAACACCTCCAATGGAAGTTACGAGTATCTCTGAAAGAGCTAAACTCTTCATGTAAAGATTGAAGTTTCTTAGGAAAGGAGAAGACTGCAGGAAAGGAACTGACTTTTTCTTGGAAAGAAAATAAAGAATTAGGATGTTGCCCATCAATCCGATGACTCCAAAAATTGCAAACAGTACAACAAAAACGAGTTTTATGCTGAAATCTGCTGGCGCGAACACGTAACCTAAAGAAGTAATGGCTACAGCTGTGCTGTTGGTAACGGAGGACTGATTATCAGTGGAATTCGGGTTGGACAAAAGTTGCGAAGCAGGTTCCATCTGCAAGTAAAATTAGAAATAAAAATGAATTTCTAAAAATTTTAGGTTTATGGTGTCATCGAATATCATAATTTAAGTCAATTTAACCAATGTGCCCCTGGCCCTTTTGTCGGAAAACGCCATTTGAAGTTAGTCAAGCCGTTTTCTGGTCAGTTCCCGTTTCCGACTTTCCCTTTTTAAAATGAATTAGCGTTTTGTCCAGCATGCTATACTCGTTTGAATGAATGAAAACAGACGTTTTCAAACCGATTTTGTCACAGTGTTGGATACAGTAAACGCGCATGTACCATCAAAGATAGTACCGTTTTTTTGCGTAAAACGAGCAAAATGGTTTCAAAAACTCAACTTGTAAACGCTTCTTTTTGGAAACGGAGAAAAGAAACTAAAAATGCAGGCACTAGAAGTCGCTCATTCTGTCTCAAAGCAATTCGTCGTCGAAATTGAAAAACAATATCACAGTTACCGTCTTTTGCTCCATCGATTTTGGAATGTTTTGGCATACCAAGAAAGCATAATATTATGAATACTTATTTAAAGCATATACCAGACATTTCAGCCAAAATATCTGCAAAATTTTCACTAGACTCGATTTTCGTCGAAAAGAACGGTCCACTAAGAGCGCTTATTTCTTAGAAAATACTTATGACCAGTAAAATCAAATTTTTCATATTCTTGACGAATGATAGCTGTAAGTGTTCTCGAAGTTCTACGGGGACAAGCTTTCGTATCCGATTCCGAGAAATATAGATCATGATAACATTATGACGCCATGACAACTATAAAGTCAATAAAACACTGATCATAACAAATCAAATTCATCTTTCTCTAATACAACTGTGGAGACCGTTTGCCAGATTTGTGCGTGAAGAGCAATGCAGCTAATTCTCAGACTTTGTGAGGCACTGCCACCAATTGAAAACTGTGAAACTCCACGCAAGCCACCTTAAACCCCATTTTTGTTGTATAAGAATGTTTTCCAAAGTCTTATTTCACCCAGAGTTTGGGTTTGATTATCAGGAGTATTGCAATTTTGGTTAATTTAAATGAGGTTTTCAAAAAGCAAGTACCTACTATGCCCTTCTTGTCAATAAAAGTGAAGCACTCGTTGGTTATGCCAGATCACTGAACTTTTTACTTTGCGGTCAGCATAAAACGACAAGAAACAAATGATCTCCTTTTCCTTTCTAAGAAGCTAAATGTGCAAAGATCAAATTATTTTTAAATTAATTGTGTATTCAAAGAATTTATTGTTCATAGCCTTTTTATTTTGACTGTACTAACCTTAGTTGCAAAAGTCGTTCTTCGATTTCTAAAAGACCCCCGTCTTTTAAACTCTTCACTGAAGTAAATGAGCGGAACGCTGAGGCGGAAAAAAGACAAAACAAGATTGGTATTATTATTTCACCGAGGGAAAATAAAAAAAATGCATTGAAATCAACAAATTTGAGCAGTTAAAGAATTGGAACTTACCGATCGTAAGGTTAGCAAGTCTCTTCTCAGTTCAAACTGTACCTACATACTGTTACGTGTATGCTGCTCCCACAAGAATGCTCGGATTTACAGGTGAACACAGGCTGTTCGACCGTTTTGCTGAAAATGTTATTGTCAGGAATGCGCTTGGCAATTTAATACTGCAGAAGTTACATTTTCTATTGTATGTTCACCTCAAGGTTTTTTTCATTCTAGCTTAGTTTCCTGCCGCCAAAATAGGCCATTATCACGATGACGTCTTTTACTACTAAGACCAGAATTCATTTCGTTTTTTCTTTGATATTTAAATTTGTTAATCCCGTTGAGGTTTAAATAACAAAAGCCCTAATTTGCACAAGAAAGCGAAACCCTGAAATATTCTGGTAGTAGTAGTAAAATGACGTCATCGTGCAAATGGCCTATTGAAAGCCAGATATGCATAACTGTTTGTTGAACAAAACCGTGATGAATCTAGTTTGTTACATCCCAGAGAAATAACGAACAATGTAACATTTGGTATATTTTACTTTATTCGGCTGTACTTTCATAGCTGTTTGTACGTACCTAGTCTCCAACTTTTTAGCGGGATCGAACTTG